GCCCCCTGTCATGTTATTTCAAGCGCCATTTATATCGCGCTTCATTGTTGCTGCCTTTTTCGGACGGCCCGGGGAGCAAACATTGGGTGCATTCTTGAATCCCTGGCGCTATGTGCAAAACAACTCAGCCCGAGTGAGAGTGGTAGTGAGTCACTATGATGATGGCCATCTGCTATTCAGCCTCCCAGCCTCAGTAAACAAAATGATGCGCGTTGTAGTTCGCATGAATCTAAATGCGAGTGTAAGTCTGAGCGTCCAAGACTGGGGCTGGTTGACCTCAGGGGGCGGCAGCGTTGCAGTAATAATCCCCCCCCTCTCCCCATTGTGCGCGTAGCAGCCCTGGGGCTAATCCAGCAGGCAAGACAAGAGGGGGCGGGGCGGCCTAAGGGGGAGGAGGGAGGCCCAAACAAAAACGCCGAAAGAGAAATGCGATTGATGTGTACATAATGTGCATATCTAGAAATGGGTATTAGATAGTCGCTCGCCTGTCGCGTCTGGCGGCAGCGCATTTTTTTGGGGGGCGTTGGCTGGGGGGGGGGGGGGGGGTCGCCTCCTCTGGGGCTCGTGGTGGAAATCGCGTGGGCAGCGCAGGCTCTTCTTCTGTAGCGCCTCTCACATCGCTTTGCCTGGTGCCTCCAAAGTTCCCCTTCATCTGTGCTCTGCTGCTGCCCCTGCCCCTGCTCCTCCGCCGCCCCCCCCCCCCCCCCCCTCCGGCGCGCGCGCGCGCGCGCGCCCCCCTTCCTCTCCCCACCCCCCCCTGCCCCCCAAGCGCATGAGCTAGCGGAGCAGAGATATTTTTTCCAGTTGCGCAGCGCGCGACAACCTGCACTGCCTGGCGCCGCCAAAACATTCGCGCGAGGGTTCGCGAAACCAGCGCTTGCTGCGCCGCTTCACCTTAGCTCCTGATCCTGCTGTGTCTCAGCCTTTGCTAAATGAAGCAATCGATTGCAAGACCGCTGCAGCGGCGCCGCCTGCGCCATCGGCCCCGCTCAAGGCCCTATCCGCCGCCGCTGCCTCCGCTGCAGTAGCAGCCGCCGCGCCGCCCGCCTCTGGGGCAGCGCCGTAGTCGTTGGCAGCGCCCTCAGCGGGCGGCAGCGGCGGATGCGCTGCCCCTGCTGCGACAGTCTCAGTCGTGGCGGCGGCGCTCGCCGCGGCGGCTCCCTCGTCTTCGCGCCGCGACCCCGGCGCGGGGGGTGGCGGCTTCATCGCGTCGTCGAACCAAGCGTCCCGCTGTGACTTCTTGACGTCCCTCAATTTGGCCATGGTCAGATCTGCAGCCATGCCGGTGCCCGCCCTGCCAGCGTCGCTGAACTTCATTGCTGGGATCACCGCGTTGTGATCGAATGACCTGTGGTGCCACTTCTCCTTGGCCCCATCGGTCATTGCCTTCCATGTCTCAAGCGCCTTCCCCAGGGATAGGTTGTCTGCGCGGCGGCCATGCTTGCAGTGATACTGGTGCCCGTTGCGCATCCAATCGAGGAAGGTGCCTGTTAACTTTAACTTCCGCCTAGCCCCGCGCTGCTCGCGCCGCTGCGCGCGCGCGCCCCCCTCATGGTTAAGCCTGCCGTCAAATTGTCGGCAAAGAACTTTTGCGCGCCCCCCGCCGCAGAATCGCTGCTGTTAGCCCCGCCAGAAGAAGCGCCTGCCGCCACCTCGTCCTCTGCGGCTCCGATTTCGGCGCTCTGCCAGCACGGGCCGCTGGTTATTGGCGGTGCCTTAGCAGTGGCGGCCATCTTAGCGCCGGCAGCAGCAGGCCGCGTCATAGCAACCTCCTCAGCAGATTCTTCGTCGCCCTCCTCGACCCCTGCGCCCGTTGCCATTCCTTCTCCAGCGGCCGCGTTGCCCCCGGCAGCAGCGGCGGGCCTCTGGCGCGCAGCTGGAGGCCTCTTGCACACCTCTTCCTCTTATAGTTTTCCATTGGCCGCTTGCGCACGGGCAGCGCTTCCACCTCTTCCTCCTCCTCGTCATCCTCCTCTTCCTCCTCCTCCTCCTCTTCTTCCTCCTCTGCAGATGCTGCGGCGGCTGCAGGCCTCCTGGGTTCGGGGCTGGTATGATAGCCCCATCAGAGTCCACCCGTGCTATGTGAGATATCGACGCGCATGATGAAAACGCTGCGCGTATCTTCACTTTCCGCCAGTCAGCGCGCATGGCGTCGATGTCTCTCGGTGCATCATCAGGCCCAACAGTGAAAAACATTCTCCGTTCACCGCTCAATTTAGCCCCTGCGTCATTTGCCCAGGCGTCGCAAAACTGGCCGAACCAATCCTTGTGCCGTGGCGCGTCCGACCCGCGATCGTCATGCGCGACGATGACCTCGAGCGGCCGCTTAGTGTCTTGGCTGCGCATGCGTTTCGTGTCTGCGGCTGTCGGGCGCGAGGGGGGCAAGCGGTGATTTGGCCAAAATGCGCCAGGTAAGGGGGGGGGGGGGGGGGGGGGGGGGGGGGGGGGGCCGAGGAGGGCCGCCCGCGTGCGTCGCGCGCGCCCAACTAATTCGGCGCGCCCCCCGCGCGTTTCGAAGGCCCATTAAATTGCGGCCGCCGGCGTGCGCCGCGCGCGCCAAGTCGGCGCGCCCCTCGCGCGTTTCGAGGCCCAGTGGGAGCTCCGCCGATGGCCCCGCGCCGCCGCCCGCGCGACAGAGAGGGGGGGCCTGAGCGCGGAGAGGCGGACAACGAGCGGGCCGAGTTTTACGTTCTCGAGTTTTCTGTGCGTGGAATTTGGGCGTCGAACTCGTGCGGCGGTTGCCCCGCGCCCCCTCCGACCAGTGATTTTCCGGCTCGAGCCCGCCCGTCTGTCTTCTCCTGGCGTCGCCCATTTTGGCCGCCGCGATGGCCAGAAACCAAGGCGCCAATCTTGGGGCGCTGACGAGGAGTCTCGGAGGCGGGGCTCCCCCGGGGAATCCTCGAGGATTGTGCTGGAGAAGCGAGGGCGAATACATCCTCGAGGGTCCCGTGCTGCAGGGGTGATGGCAACGAATCCTCGAGGCGCTAGCCGTGTCGGTCGGCGTGTCGGGGAGAAACGAACGGCGGCGGAAGCTCTGGTTAGTCGGCCTGCATCCTGATGCCGTGTGTGAGACCTCTGGGCGGCCCCGGGGCGCTCGTGAGGCTTCGGCCCGCGCGATGCGATGGTGCGACTCTTGGGGAACAACGAAGGTGCTGATTTTAATCGACAGCGGGAGGCTGGCGAAGGCGCTTATAATCGACTTGCGTGGCAGAGGGCGATGGATGCCGCGCGTGTCCAAAACTCTGGGCCAGACTTCGCGCGCTGGATGGAGCTCAGACGGGGCGTGCCAGGCGCTATGTTTAAGCCCAGAAAGGCAAGTTGATTTTGGAGCTGGATGGCAGGGCGAATCAGAATCAGCGAGAGGCGATGCGATGCGCGGAGCAGCAGGTTTTGCAAAGGCGTTCATCTCCAGCAAGCTGTTCGGGGAGACTGCTGTCGTCCACGACGAGGGGATGTTGCTGGCGACTCGTTGATTATGGGAAACCGAGGGGGCGGAGGAGCCCAGAGGAGCCGCAGGCCCCTCCTCAGGATAGTGACGCGCGCGTGGGGCTAGCCCAAGCGTCGAGTCAGCCTTCGAGGGGCGCCGTCGTCGCGCGATGGGCGACGACGTGATGCCTGTTCTTAGTCTGGGGCTAAATTCGTTAGAAATTGGACGCTCGGCGCGCGCTGAGCTGCCGCGTCGAATTGCAAAGAAAAGCGTAGAAGAGACATGTCATTCAACTCGTAATGGGAAGGAGGAGGAGGCTAAGGCTTCAGGAGGCGACGCTTATGTTCATTCGCCTCACTTCGGGACCAGTACTAGTAGTATCTTAGGTGCCGAATGCTCGTGGGCTAGGTGCCGAATGGCACGGTTAGACAATGATGGTGCCCTGTTGCTCTTTGTGTTTGTTGGATGCCCGTGTACATTTTGGGGAGGGTAACCTTGGATGTTCTGTTTGTTTTGGCCGACCGAGGGTCTCATGTTCTTGACGGGTGTTCTTGTGGCCTAGGTCCGTCTGTACAGCATCGATTGATTTGTTCGTCGAATCTACAAGAGATGCGTCGAAGGCTCCGTAGATCTACGGAGCATTCTTCGTCTTTTTGAAAGTTCGACGGGCAAATCAAGTTTTGGGAAGGTCAACTCTGTAGTCGATCCCCTACTCGAGCCCTGGGGCTCAGAAGGCTCGGCCACGCGTAGGGGGGGGGCGCAAGGGGGAGTGGGCGAGGCTTCTGATCACGGAGGCGTAAGGACTCAAGTACGCCGGAGCTCGGTTGTGCCGACGCTTTTTGACGAGCGCGTCCCGGGTGTTGTCGGTCCAGGTTTTGCGGGATGTTTGCAGCGGGAGCTCGCGTCAAATTTCAGACTGGGTCTCGTCCTTTTCATGATGGCCCCGTCTGGCCAACCCGAGTCCCCCGAACCCGAGTCTGACATCTCCGCGATCTTGGAAGCACCCCTGGTTCTGAGAGGGCGCGGGCCCCACATCTATAGGTACAGGGCCGGCGTCTTCCAAGAGGCAGGGGTGCTTCTGAGAAGTCTTCTCCTCTCCCAATAGCTCAGGGGCGTGCGGTATAAGTACGGTAGGCTCGTGTCGTGTCGACCGGCGGCGACCCTGCCGCTGGCGTTCAACGTTGAGCGATGTTGAACGATCTGACCTGTCGGAAACGGCCGATCGTTCAAGGTTGAACGGTCCCCGCGGTGTCAGGAACCAACGGCGGGGTCGACACGACACTAATCTGCCGTACCCCTCCGGGAGCTTCGCCGCCGACGAAGAACACCCAGCTCCCCTGGGTACATGTGTTGCTCCCCCCTGAGCTATTCGCCCCTGTGCTGTAGTCGGGGCCTGTCCTTCTACAGGAGCACTTTTCAGAAACAGTCAAAAATTGTCAGGGGACGATTTTTCGATTATTTCTTGGAAATTTTGAGCGTCATTTGAATGTTTTTGATTTTTAGTCCGAAATTCGCCTGTAGGGGGACATGCCCGACCTAACCCTGAGCTTTTACCCCTGTGCTGCAGGGCAAGAGTTGTGTACGTAGGGCAGTGGGCCGGAGGCCGTGCGGCTCCGTGGTCGGCGTGGGCCACATCCCGGCGGACATGCGGGCCAGGAGCTGAGGGCCAGTGGCAGTCGGGGGCGTCCAGAGGGGGCTCATGAATGGCGGGGTGTGGATGTCATGGCCGGGGCCACGACATCTCCCAGATCTCATGGCCCCGGTCAGCCCGTTCCCTAGCCCCTTCCCGTTTTGCGCGCATGCCTCTGGCCATGTTGCGCGAATCCTCCTCTTCCCGCCGCCCTTTTCGGCGCACCCGACCGCAGGGTGTGTTGTTGACCTCGCATCTCGTCCAGATTCTAGCATCGAGTTTTTTATGTGTACGAGTTTTTAGCCCCTCTTGGGGGCTTCGGGAGTCCTTTCGTCGCCACGGTTGGGCCGAGCTCCATTCTGTTTTTGGGGGGCCGGGGGAGTGTCTGCTCCTTGGACCCCTGGCCCTTCGGGTTGGCCGGCCGACCACGCTGCAGGGGCGCTCTCCCAGAGGGAGGCCCCCCCCCCACTCGCGGCCGCGCTAGGGGCCTCGTGCCGTTCCCGCCAACGCGGCAGGATTGGAGCTTCGGCGTCCCACAGACTTCGTCGCCGTCGCCATCCCAGCATGCCCTCTCGCTGCTGCTCACTCCCGTCGTCGCCCTCGTCCTTCTCCGCGGCCTCTACCCCTCTGACCTACGATCGGCGGCCCAGGGGCGCATACAGAGGGGGCGGGCCTTCTCAGAAGGCTCAGAAGGCCTCGGGCCTTCTGATAAGTCTCTTAAAGCCTTCCCCGAAGCCACAGACACCTTCCCCAAAGGCGCGGGGGCTTCCGAGAAGCCTCGCTGCCTTCTCAGAAGGCCTGCCCCCTGTCGCTTCCCCCCCTTGGGTCGTTGCGGTTGTGAGTAGCTCCTCCTCGCCGCGCCACCAGAGTGGTTGGTAGGGCGGCCTGGGCGTTCCGCCTGAGAGGTCCTCATCTTTCGTGATCCGAAGCTGACACATCCCAGCATCTTCACATGTGGAGCGAATCGTTTTCGAAACGCGGCTCCCGCCTTAGCGCCACGCGCATTCGTCTTGAACGCTTCCACCAGTCACAAGGATGGAGGGCGGCCACATTTTCAGAAAATCACTCGCATTCGTGGTGCGCATACTCGGCTTAGTAGTCGGTTCCAACGGCTACAAGCATTAAGTGCAGTTCGCCATCAACACGGCGCTCTCGCTCGACACCTTCATCACTTACGACCTGAAGTGTGACATTGTACCACGTGTTGGAGGCAGCTGGTTAAAACACCACGACGCCCTCGCTTGATACCTCTACAGAACCCACGATCCGACGTGTACTATTGACTCCGATTATCAGTAACCAAATCAAATCACACATGATTCTTTGTTTCATGTGTGTGTGTGGGATTAACAAGAGTACACTAAAATCTTTGCTTGTTAACGAAACAGTGGCGTAACATGTTTGCTGCAGAACGGCGCTCCTTCCCCATGCCTTCTCGAAGTTGGCTGCCCGACGGGTGACACAGTGCAACATATACACGGGTGGAGGGCGGCCCCTTCTCAGAGCGGAGGAGGAGGAGGTGGAGGTGGAGGAGGAGGAGAAGGAGGTGGAGGCGGAGTTGGAGGAGGAGTGGGATGATGATGATGATGATGATGATGATGATGATGATGATGATCATGATGATGATGACGATGATGATGATGATGGCGACGATGATGATGAGGAGGAGGAGGCAGATGATGATCAGGATCATGATGATGATGAAGATGAGGATGATGATAATGATGATGATGAGGAGGAGGCGGATGATGATGATGATGATGATGATGATGAGGATGATGAGGATGATGAGGATGATGAGGATGATTATGATGAGGATGATGATGCTGCTGCTGATGATGGTGCTGATGATGATGTTGCTGATGATGCTTCTGATGATGAAGATGGTGATGCTGACGATGATGCTGCTGACGATAATGATGATGATGCTGATGCTGATGATGATGCTGATGATAATGAGGAGGAGGTTGAGGAGGAGGAGGACGATGATGATGATGATGATTACGATGATGATGGTGATGATGATGGTGATGATGATGATGATGATGATGATGGTGAGGGTGATGATGATTCTGATGATGAGGATGATTATCATGAGGAGGAGGAGGCAGATGATGATGAGGATCATAATGATACAGATGATGCTGCTGATGATGATGATGATGATGAGGAGGAGGAGGAGGCCGAGGCGGATGATGATGATGCTGATGAGGATGATGAGGCTGATGATGATGATGATGATGATGATGCTTCTGATGATGATGCTGATGATGCTGCTGACAATGATGATCATGCTGCTGACGATGATGACGATGATGACGATGACGACGATGACGATGATGATGATGATGATGATGATGATGATGATGATGAGGACAGGGGGAGGATGAGGATGAGGAGGACGATGATGATGATAATGATGCTGATGATGATGAGGATGAGGAGGAGGATGGGGATGAGGATGAGGATGATGATTATGATGATGATGTTGACGATGATCATGCTGATGCTGATACTGATGATGATGATGATGATGATGATGATGATGATGATGATGATGATGATAATGATGGTGATGGTGATGATGACGATGATGATGATGGTGCTGATGATGAGGATGCTGCTGATGCTAATGATGATGCTGCTGATGATGGTGAGGAGGGGGATGAGGAGGAAGAGGATGAGACGCAGGCGGAGAAGGCGGAGAGGGATGATGATGGTGATGATGATGATGATGATGATGATGATGATGATGATGATGATGTCGGTGATGCTGATGATGATGATGATCAGGATGATGATGATGGTGATGATGATGATGGTGGTGCTGATGACGAGGATGCTGCTGATGCTGATGATGACGATGATGGTGCTGACGACGATGATGATGATGACGATGTTGCTGCTGACGATGATGATGCTGATGATGTTGCTCATGTTGCTGATGATGCTGACGATGATGAGGAGGCGGTTGAGGAGGAGAAGTATAATGATGCTGATGATGATGCTGATGATGCTGATGGTGATGATGATGATGACGATTATGATGATGATGATGATGATGATGATGACGATGAGCATGAGGAGGATGATGAGGAGGCGGATGACGATGATGATGATGATGATGATGATGATGATGATGATGATGATGATGATGCGGAGGAGGAGGCGGATGATGATGATGCTGATGATGCTGTTGACGATGCTGATTATGATGATGCTGATGATGATGCTGATGATGATGATGATGTGGATGACGAGGATTGTGAGGAAGATGAGGCTGATGATGATGCTGGTGATGCTGCTGACGATGATGATGCTGATGACGATGCTGATGATGATGGTGCTGATGACGACGATGATGATGACGATGATGATGATGCTGATGATGCTGATGACGCTGATGATGCTGATGATGAGGAGGAGGAGGATGAGGATTCTAATGAGGGTTGTGATGATGCTGATGCTGATGATGATGATGCGGATGATGATTATGATGAGGCGTATGCTGATGATGCTGATGCTGATGCTGATACTGCTGCTGATGATGATGAGTATGAGTATGATGAGTATGATGATGAGGCTGATGCTGATGATGCTGATGATGAGTATGATGAGTACGATGATGAGGCTGATGATGATGATGCTGATGATGAGTATCAGTATGATTATGATGATGATGATGGTGGTGGTGGTGGTGGTGATGATGATGATGATGAGGGTGATGATGATGCTGATGATGATGATGATGCTGATGATGATGCTGATGATGATGATGGTGATGATGGTGGTGATGGTGATGGTGATGGTGATGGTGATGGTGATGGTGATGCTGATGATGATGATGATGATGATGATGATGATGATGATGATGGTGATGGTGATGGTGATGGTGATGGTGATGATGATGATGATGATGATGATGCTGATGATGATGATGCTGATGCTGATGCTGATGATGATGATGATGATGATGATGATGATGATGATGATGATGATGACGATGACGATGATGATGATGATGATGATGAGGAGGAGGAGGAGGAGGAGGAGGAGGAGGAGGAGGTGGAGGTGGAGGAGGAGGAGGGAGGAGGAGGAGGAGGAGCCTCTCAGAACGGGACTCGTGGGACACGGCCTCTTATTCTTCGGCCTCTCTCGCGCTCGTCCAGGGCAGCCCCTCTTCTCAGAGGCGGGGCGCTCGCCCGAGTTGGCAGGCCCGCGGGGCGCTTCTCTCTTGCAAGAGGGAGGGTTTCTTCCCGCAGGGAGAAGGAACATCCGTCGGGTCTTTGGAAGCGGGGGCCTGGAGCGGCAGGGCGTCTTGCAGCGTCCCCGCTGCATCCCGGGTTTACCCTGGTCCTCCTGCTTATCCTCCGTCCCATTTCTCTCCTCTTCTTGCTGCTATTTCGTCCTCTCGCCCCCCTTCTTTTCCATCCTCCGTCCCACGTGCCCCCTCTACCCTGCTGCAGCTTCATCCTCATGCCCACCCTCCTCCAAACCCGCCTCGTACTTCTCGCTCCGTCCATCCATCCTCCTACTCCCTCCCTTTTCGGGGGGGAACCACCAAGAGGTACCGATACCGCTACTCCCCAGACCTCTCCTGGGGTGCGATCTGATTAGGGTCTCGATGCGAATCCAGCGGTGGCGACGAGGGCCTCCCAGGAGGCCCCGAGGAGGGGCAAACGAGGGAAGGGTAGCGGTAGGGAACCTTCTCTTCCTCCGACTTCTCACGTCGCCGATGCAGGATCCGGGATTCTGGTGCCTCCCAAAATTCGGCGCCTTCGACGTTCCTGTCGTCCTGCCGTCTTTCGCATCGAGGCCTGCCCAGCGGACTCCGTCTCGGAGCCTGGGAGCCCGCGGCTCCACGGGGCCTCTCTCTCATCCCTTATCCGCGAGGGGGCGGGGAGGGGAGAGGCGGACGGGAGGAGCAGGTGTGGCGTGAGGCCTTGGGTGGAGTAGGGGATGGGAGGCATTGGGAGGCATTGGAAGGCATCGGGAGGGCATTGGGAGGCATTGGCAGTGTGGAGGATGTGAGTGAGGCATCGGAGGCATTGGAGGACAGATGTGGATGGATGGGGATGCGGGAGGAGGTGGAGGAGCAGGAGGACGAGGAGGCAGAGGATGGGGATGAGGAGGGGGAGGCGGAGGATGAGGATGAGGAGGGGGAGGAGGAGGAGGAGGAGGAGGAGGAGGAGGAGGATATGGGACCATGATGCTCTTGCTGCTGCTGCTGATGATGCCGATGATGCTGATGATGATGATGATGATGATGATGATGATGATGATGATGATGATGATGATGATGATGATGATGATGATGATGATGATGATGATAACGACGATGACGATGATGACGATGCAGATTACGCTGATGCTGATGATGCCGATGATGTTTGGATGGAATGCAGTAAGTGGGAGTGAAGTGAACGGGGCCGCACAACGTTGTGGCTCAAGCTTTTCTGAGGTCGCTCCGCGTCCTCGGATGTGGGCACAGGCCCTCGCCTGGGGGTGGGAGGCTTCACTTACTTTCCTTGCCTCCTGCCCCAAGGCTCCTTCTTGCCCTCAGTGCCCTCAGTGCCCCGCCATCCCCGCGCTGCCGGCCTGCCCAGCCTGTCCTGGCGCGCCGGCTCCCGCCGTCTCGCCGCAGGGCGGCGGCGTCGGGACCACACTCCCAGACCTCAGGCTGCTGGTTCTGGCGGCGGGGCTGCTGCTCCTGGCAAGCTGCGGGTGCCTGGCTGCGGCGGCCCTCGCCGTGGGGGGCGGGGTGCGGCGATCTGCGCCTCGCAGCGAGTCCTTGCCCAAGGTAACGGACGGCTCCATTGCGACCGCGGAGCTCGAGGCGAGCGTTGGCGCGCTGGCCCAGGAGCAGCTGGCGTTGCTCCGCCAACGCCGGTCTCAGAACTGAGATGGCTGCGGTGACTCCGCCGCCCGTGCAGAGCTTGGGGATCGAGGCCGGGGACTTCGGGGTGGTTCAGTATAACGTACCTGGAGCGCCTCTGTTTCATGAACGACTTGTGTTGATCGAGCCAGGCGCTGGGACGACCGTGAGTGTGCTGACCCCAGACGGGGATAACTACGACGAAGACTGGGTGCAGGGCCCCGACATCATCTGGTTCGGCTTGCGGGCAGGCGGCGCATGTGGCGGCGCGCCTCCGCCAGGACCAGGCGGGCTAGCAGTGCCGGTGTATCGTTTCCAGAATGTACCGACACCCGCGGTGTTTCAGGCCGAGAGGGTGATTGCCGCCGCTCGGCGTGGGTTTGCAGTCCCTGCGGATGGCAAGCAGCCCAACCTGGGAGGTCGTGTCGTCGGAGGTGCTGTCAGCGGCGGCGCTGGCGGCGCTGGCCCAGCGGCCCCACCACTCGCTCTCGGAGTCGACGGAGGAGTTGGTGCGCTGGCTGCAGCCCTGGGTCCTGCACCTGGCCTCCCTGGCGGGGCTGTGGGCCTCCCCGCCGCCGCCGGCGGCATCGCCCCGGCCGCGGCTGCCGCGGGAGACGCACCCCGGGTTGACGGCGCGGCGCTGGCACCGCCACCAGCCATCGGGCCCGGGGGAGTCCTCGCGCCCGTCGGCGCTGCGGCGGCCGCTGGCCTCGCAGTGGCTGTGAGTTCGGCCTCGCCCACCGTGGGCATTCGCATCCAGCCAGTGTCTCATGATGCTTCTGGATCTCGATTTCGGGAGTTTCGACTGGCGGTCGAGGGAATGGTCGAGACGCCGCGCAACGACTTTCCAGTGCGGGGTCCTCGCACAACGCTATGGCTGGTTCGTTTCATTCATGGTCTCCAACGGTCAGGCTCCGCTCGGTCGTCATGCCAGGTGGAAAGCCGACGCCAAGGTCCAGAATAACGACGGCGGTGTCGAGAACCATCTCATGTGTTACCAGATGCTCGAGAGTATGGCGGCTTTCGACCAGCTGAATTTGCCCGACATCGCAGGTGCCGAGATCATGTCCCGCGCCATCCAGCTCTCCGAGGAGAGGTGCAGAGACAGGATGCCTGCGTTTGCAGGCAACGGGGGGGGGGGTCTACGCAGGACGCCTTCTTGTGCATGGGCTTGGACCATGTGCGCGGGAATGTTGCAGTCTGCCCCGCTCTCCAGTCGTGGGTGTCACTTGAGTTGCAGAAGGAGGTGGCCGTCATGAAGGAGAGGCGCAAAGCTCGAGAGGAGGGAGCCAGCGCCAAGGTGAAGAACAATACCATGAAGGACGGTAAAGACGATGACTGAGCCCCCTCGGGCGGCGGGAGTCGGCCGCCCGCCGTCCCTTTCTTCGGCGGCCAGGCGGACAGGCTCGCAGCATGTTACGCCTGTCAGCTCTCTTTTGCATACCTCCCCTCCCCCTGGTCTCAGTTTGGGGGCCTCGCCTGTTGCCGATCTTTCTTTTGTGCCGCCGCCGCCTGGTCTTGCTGACCCGTCGGGTAAGCGCGCCTCAAGTGATCGTGGGCGGGACATCTTTCCTGTGCTTTTTTTGAGTGAGGAGGTGGGGCAGCAGCGGACAATTTTGTCCCCGTGCCGTGGTGTGCAACGACGGCGCAAGCGTGTCCAGCAGTATCGGACTTGGGCTAACGATGGAATCTCTCGTCTCAACGGTATGATGGGAAAGGGGGGGGGCGGAGGCGCCAAGTAACGCCGAGAATGCTTGTCAGCGGGATGCGTTCAAGCACGCTCGCGACTGCTATGCTGGTATATCTGCCGCCCCGCCCGATCTCTCGACGGGTGCGGGATCTCTGCGCGAGATCTGCGCGGCCTCTGGGCTCTACGATGACGGGTCTGGGTCCACTCGGCCCTTCAACCGGCGTTTGCTCGCCCTCCCCGATCAGGTGGCCGCCGCCTGTTTGACGACTATGCTACTACCCGGGGACTCTACTTGGTTGTATGATTATCAGGCGAATTTGCCCAGGGGTGCTAATGGAGCCCACAGTTTACATCAGGAACTGGGTCCGAGGGAATCGACCCCGTCGTGAAAATCGCCCCCAGGATCTATTCCGACTTCCTCACCGTCCTCTTCGAACGCGGTATGCTTGAATGGATCGTGGCCCCGGAGACGCCCCGTAGTCTTGGAGTTTCTTTCGTGGCCACGAAGGACGGGGGGATTCGCGTCATCTTCGACGCTCGAGTTTGCAATTTCGCTTTCAAGGGCCCCCTGTCCACCAGGCTCCCGACGGCTTCGTCGCTCAGCCAGGTCGAGACGGACGGGCCCGTGTTTGTGGCCACTGGGGACATCGATGCAGCTTTCTACAGGATGGGTTTACCGTGATTCTTGCGGCTGTACTTCAGAATGCCACACGTGGCAGCCCGACATTTTGGCCTCAAGGAATTAAATGGGCAGCGTCTCCACCCCAACACCATGATAGCTCCTCAACCCTGTGTGCTCCCAATGGGGTGGTCTTGGTCGTTACTGTTAGGTCAGAGCGTCGTGCGCCATACTATTGCCACTGTTGACATACCTACCTCCCTCGCAGTTCTGGACGGTTTACCGGCGGTGGTGGTCAAAGGGAGGGATGTGGCGGTGGCGGGTTGCGTCGACAATGTCTTGACTAAGGGGGCCGACAAACGCGAAACGGATCAACTACTGGGGGCTGTGCGTGGTGTTTTGGAGGAGAAGGGTCTGATACTTCATGGGGTGGAGGAGGGCGCCCGCGATTTAAGTTTTCTCGGCCTCCAGCTGCCAGGAGGCGACAGGGCATCGATTAAGCGCCGCAATCTGTGGCGACCCAGGTTCGCCATCGAGGCCCTCTTGCGGCGGGGCCGCTGCAGTGGGCGCCTGTCACGGGCCCTTCTGGGACATTTTACTTGGGCGGGCTTGACCCGACGGGGGGTCTACAGTATTTTGCAGGTGTGTTGCGCTGTCGTTGCCCAACAATGGTCCCAGGGTCGTCGAGATCTGGCCTGCAGTTCGTCGGGAGTTGTGGGCCACCAGGTGTCGACTACCGTTGCTGAACGTCTGCTGGTCTGCCCGCTGGCACCCTGCTGTGCTCGCGACCGATGCCTCAACTTTCGGTCTAGGCGCGTGCACCCGGCAGGCCAACCCACACGACGTCGGGGCAATCGGCAGGATCTCGGAAAAATGGCGATTCAAGGTCGAACAGTGCATTGACGCCCGTAACCACGCTCTCCTCGACCCTCCCCGCGCTTCTCCCGCCCATGCCGACCGACCCCTCTCGACCTCCCACGACGGCAGCGACGGTTCTGTTGGTGGCGGCGGTTACCATCTACCTCTTACCGACTGCCTCGACGGCGACGGCGACGACCACCCGAACTCCCTGCCGACTTGTGGGCTGGATGGCTCGGCGGGCAATCGCAGCACCCACGACGGCGACCGCGTCGGCGTTGGTCAGGGTGCCGATTCCGGCGTCCACGACAGGTCTTGGAAGTCCATGGGGGGGGGGTGCTGCGGAGGAGCCAAGGGCCCCCGCAACCACTATCGAGGATTTGGCGTCTACCTTCGATGAGATCGACAAAGGCTTTGTGGGCGGTACATATTGGAAAGCAGTCGTGGCTACTAGAGTGAGACACCGTTCAAACATCCTCGAGCTCGAAGGCGATGCGTTGGCCCTGGGGCGCCGACGTGATCTTCGGACTGGCGCGGCCCGAGGGGCCAGGGTGCTCGCCATTGTGGATAATCTACCACTATGTTTGGGCGCTGTCAAGGGCCGTGCCCGTTCTTCCTACCTCCTGCGCCCCCTGCGACGTATCGCGGCCCTATCGCTGGCCACTGGTTCACGACTGTACGTGAGATGGGTCCCTCCGAGAGGAACCCTGCGGATAAAGGTTATCGGGGCCAACTCGGGTTCTTTGCAGGTCCCTCTTGGCTCGAGGTCCACCGCCAGGCTCCAGACGACCTTCGACTTCTGCCAACTCCCGCTCCAGCATCAGATGCCGAGGGCCCACCGCCGCGAGGCGACGTCCCGCCAGCAGCGGGTGAACGGCGAAGCCGGCAGGCTGAAGAGGGGGAGATCCATCCGAGCGCGAGCTGCCGCCACCATGGTCGCATCAGCCACCGCGTTCCCGTGGGTGAGTGTTTTGGAGAAGATCGCTGTGGGACCAGGCGCCGTTGCGCTGTATTCGAGGACGCTTCGACAGTTCCTGGTCCACTGCCAGGCACTGCAGCTGACTTGGGGCAGCATGGCGGAGCTGGACATCATCGTTGTGGACTACCTCAATGCCACGTGCACAGAGGGCCACGGAGCCGACGAGGCCAGCCGTTTGATAGCAGCTCTGGGGTATGTATCTCCAGAATTATACAAGAAGACCCGGGCTTCCCTGCCGAGAGCGACCGGATGTGCTGTCAGCTGGAACCGACGCACCCCTGCCCAGTCTCGACTGCCACTGCCTCGTCTGGCAGCCTTGGCGATCGCGGGCGGGATGATTATGCTCGGAATCCCTCGGATGGCCATCGTGGTGGCAGTCTCCCACGCGCGTTACCTCCGCCCCATCGAGGCAATGGCCCTGGTCGGCAAGAGCATCGTCGCAGCGGTGCCGGCCGCCGGCTCGGGGTACACCATGATGGGCTTGGTCTTGCACGAGACGTCTCTCGGCGCCCCCGGGAAGACAGGGGCCTTCGACGAAGCCGTCGCCATAGACGACCGCTGGTTGTGGGAGCCCCTCCTGGGCTTGAAGGCCTCCAGCCGTCCAGACAGCGCGCAGTGGAACTTCGACGGCGAGCTGTGCCGCGAGGTGTTCTCGGCTGTCGCCGAAGGCCTTGGCTTGGGGCCATTCGATCCGCACCCGTATCAACCTCGACTTGGAGGCGCGTCAGAGGATCTAGCCACCCAGCGTCGGACTCCCGAACAAGTCATTCGTCGAGGGCGGTGGGCGACAGCCGCATCCCTCAAGAGATATGGGATGGAGACCAAGTTGCTGCGGGTGATCAACCAGATCTCTCCGTCCGTCTTCAGCTTCGAAAGCGAGGTGCTCCACCACTTCAGCCAGGGCTTGCGGACGGGCGTCGGACCTCGGCGAGGTCAACTGCCCGTGCCGGTGCTGCTGGGGTCAGGTGTGCGCCGGGAGGTTTCAAAGTTCACCGAGAGGCTCCTCGCCAGAATCCCAGCCTGCCGACCCGTGTGAATGATACCAGTGGCGTTAGGAAGTATTTCCAACACGTGCTAACCAGAGCCCAGAAGAAAGCGACCCACAATCGACGCGTTGTTTTCCTGGAACTAGTTGCCGGTGACGGGGGTATCAGCCAATTCGTCAGATCCAAGGGGTTCCCAGTCCTCAGCCTGGACAACCGAAACCACCCGCTCCAGGACCACCTGAATCCCACGTTTCAGTCGGTAATCAATGGATGGATCCGAGGGGGCGTTGTGGGCGCTGTTTGGCTGGGGGCGCCGCGTGCAACTCGGTCTATCGCTAGGCGGCCCGCTATACGCGACAGTTCTAACCCCATGGGTATTCCTGGCCTCGCTCCCTCTCAACATCTCCAGAGCCCAACGTGGGCAATGATACGCTCTTCTTCTCTACTCAGATTATCCGTCTCGCCATCCGACACAACGCGCCCGTGGCCCTCGAGAGTCCAGGTGCATCGCTGATGTGTCGAGCGCCAGAAGTCGCATCTTTATTGGACCACAACGCTTGTGTGATGCATGTTTGTGATATGTGTCAGTTTGGAGCCCGCTGGAAGAAGCGGACGCGTGTTGCTATGTGGAATGCTGGTAGGTGTACAGACATGGAGTGTATTTGCCATCGTCGTGGTAAGACATGATCGAAAACGAGCCGTCCACACATCGAATTGAGTGGTAAGACTTCAGATGGTATTCATTGGACAGCTGTTGCAGCCGCCTACCCCAAGACATTTTGTGATGTCTTGGGTCAGCACTTTACTAACGTTATGCAGAACAACAGACAATCAATATTGAACGAATTATATGGTGTGCGGCTATAAGCCAGTGAACCAGTCGGGATCGGGTGTTGGAGGCGCGGGCCTCTGCGACATCCACCGGGGCCATGCCGCCTGATCTCGGCTCCTGGCTGCCTCGCCTCCTCCTGAGAAAAAGACGTCCCCATGGCCCCGTGGGCTCTCACGGTCGCTGTTTGGATGGAATGCAGTAAGTGGGGGTGAAGTGAGCGGGGCCGCACAACGTTGTGGCTCAGGCTCCCGCCCTTCTGGCCTGCCAGGCGCCCACCCGCTTTCGCCTCTTCATTTTCTTTTTCTCTCCCAGGGGTGTTGGAGGCGCGGGCCTCTGCGACGTCCACCGGGGCCATGCCGCCTGATCTCGGCTCCCGGCTGCCCCACCTCCTCCTGAGAGAAAGATGTCCCCATGGCCCCGTGGGCTCTCACGGTCACTGCTGATTATGATGACGATGACGACGACGCTTATCATGATGGTGTTGATGATGGTGGTGATGATGCTGGCGGTGATGACGATGACGATGACGACGATGAAGACGATGATGATGTTGCTACTGATATGATGCTTCTGCAGCTGCCGCTGCTAATGATGATGATATTGACGATGATGATGATGATCATGATGATGATGATTATAATTGTTATGAAAGTGATGCTGACGAGGTGGCGATGATTTTTACTTGGGTTAGGCGTTGACGAGGGTGTTTGTGATGATGACTATGAAGACGCCTCCGATAGTCATGGTGCTTATATTTGGTGTTGGTCATGTTGCTTACGATTATGCCGATGACGATGATTTTGTTGATGAAGGCGATGATGACGCTGATGACGATGGTGATGACGATGACGATGATGATGATGTTGATGATCATGATGATGATTCCGCTGCTGTTGCTGCTGCTGAGTATTTCGATTATGATGATGGTGCTGCTGACAATGATGATGATGATGACACGTATAATGATAAAAAACGATGATGATGCATATGTTGATGATGATCATGATGATGGTGGTAATGGCGATGGTGATGGTGGTGATGATGGTGATTGTGATGATGCTTCTGATGTTGTTGTTGTCGTTGTTGCTGTTGTTGTTGTTGTTATTTCTGTTGTTGTGGTTGTGGTTGTGGTTATGGTTGTGGTTATGGTTGTGGTTGTTGTTGTTGTTGTGGTTGTTGTTGTGGTTGTGGTTGTGGTTGTCGTTGTGGTTGTGGCTGTGGTTGTGGCTGTGGTTGTTGTTGTTGTTGTTGTTGTTGTTGTTGTTGTTGTTGTTGTTGAATGTTAATTTCCAAGCAATCTTATTGTTGGACCCCCCATGCGCTTTGGCGCTCTCGCTTCGGCGCCGGCTACATCTTCATTGAAAATGAGGCTCACGCTCGAGCGGTTTGGGGGAGCGCCAAAACGACCCCCCCAACAACAGCAACGCTCCCGCCGCTCGAGACTTCCTCCTTTCTCGCTCAGGGCCGGTGCTTTTGCTCGCCGCCGAAAGCCGCCGTCCCAACAAAACCAGCGCTACCGCTCGATACTTCCTCACTTTTTACCTTGGACTGGTGCGCTACTCTTTCTCTCATCGGCGCCGCCCCCAGCAGCAACAACACTCCCGCTCTAGACGTCCTCCTTTTTTTCCTCAAGGCGGTGTTCCTCCCGACAAAACCAGCGCTCCCGCCCGAGACTTCCTCCTGTTCGACGCTGGACTGGCGCCCTACTCTTTTGAATTGGCGCCGCTCTCAGCAAGAGCAACGCTGCCGCTCGAGGCTTCCCTTTTTTTCCTCAGGACGGTGCTCTTGCTCGCCGCCGAAAGCTGCCGTCCCAACAAAACCAGCGCTACCGCTCGAGACTTCCTCACTTTTTACCTTGGACTGGCGCGCTACTCTTTCTCTCATGGGCGCCGCCCCCAGCAACAATGCTCCCGCTCGAGTCTTCCTCCTTTTTTAACTCAAGGCGGTGCTCCTCCTCGCCGCCGAAAACCGCCGTCCCGACAAAACCAGTGCTCCCGCCCGAGACTTTCTTCCGTTTTACGCTGGACTGGCGCCCTACTCTCGTTTGAATTGGCAAGAACAACGCTTCGGCTCGAGGTTTCCTTTTTCCTCAGGGCGGTGCTCTTCCTAGCCTCCGACAGCCCCCGTCCCGACAAAACCACGGCTCCCGCTCGAGACTTCCTCCATTCTTACTCAAGGCGGTGTTCCTCCTCGCCGCCGACAACTGCCGTCTCAACAAGACCAGCGTTCCCGCTCGAGACTTCGTTTTGTTTTACGCTGGACTACCGCCCTACTCTCTTCAGCATTTGCGCCGCTCTAAGCAACAACAACGGCCCTGCTCGAGACTTCCTCCCTTTCTATTCAAGGCCAGGTCCTGGTCTCGCCGCCGACAGCCCTCATCTCCAGCAAGGCAATCCTGTCGCTCGATACTTGTTCGTGATTTACCCTTGGCTGGGGCTCCACTGGCGGTCTCGCATCGTCGCAGCAAGACGTGGGCATGCGTTTTCGAGGCGGGATATGTTGAGATTATTCGGAGGAGGTGTTGCAAGATCTCATTGGGCGGGAGATCCGGGAATGGGAATAACGGACCCTGCTATAGAACAACACTCCCCCATGATGGGGATAGTTATCATGATGGTCGCATGCTTCGTGTGGAAGCATCGCGCATACAGGTAACATGATTGTTGTTGTTGTTGGTGTTGTTGTTGTTGTTGTTGTTGTTGTTGTTGTTGGTGTTGTTGTTGTTGTTGAACTCTAATTACTGAAGAATAATTATTGTTGATCCCCCCCCTCCGGCGGACATTGTATTTTTTCAATTGAAGTGCCCCTTCCGGGGCTCGCACCCTGTTTTTTATCAGGGAAAGTCGTGGGCATCAAACTGCGTTGTTGGCCCCCCGGACAACAACAACAACGGCTCCCGCCTGATACTTCCTCCAAATTTACTCAGGACCCCCGCCCCCGCCTGGGACTTCCTTGCAGTTTACTCAGGCGGAGGCGCTCCCGCCTGAGACTTCCTCGCAAATTACTCCGGACCCCCGCCCCCGCCTGGGACTTCCTCGCAGTTTACTCAGGCGGAGGGATCCTCCCCCCCTTGCCCCTTCCCTCCTCCCTCCCTCCCCCCACTCTTTTCCTCCTCGCTCTCCCTTCCTCCTTCCCCCTGCTCTTCCTGTTTTAGGGGCTGCGCCAACTACACGTGGCGAGTAAAAAAGATATACCCCCAAAGGGGTATGACCGAACACGAAGAGGGTGGGTATCGAGGGTTTGGGATTTACATATTGAGTGACGCGCGCGCATATAAGAGCGATCAGTCTTAAGATGATTATTGTTGTTGTTGAACATTATTACTTCTAAAGAATAATTATTGTTGGGACCCCTGGTGCACGACCCCCCTCCAAAACCTAGGCCGCAGCTACATTTTCATCATTTTTTCGCGAAAGCTTCAGAAAAGTGGATTATGCCAGATCCGGTTGTTTTGTTGTAATCCGTTTTCCCTTGCAAAAAACACTATAAAATGAAAACTCTTGTTCTTACTTGATCAAAATGCAAGAATCCCTAGCAAAAAATAAGGTAAAGTGGACATTCGTGCGCGCAAGACGAAATCCTTCCAAAACCTTCAGGTTTCGTAATCATTTTAACATAAAAACATCAAAAACCCAATGGTTTTTTAAGAAAAAATTGTCACAATGTTCTTCCGCGCGCTCTTGCGGATTCGTAGGAAAACCAACACTTTTTAAACAATTTTGTCAAACGGGCTTTTGCGAGCAACTTTTTCGAACTTCTGCGACAACGGTTGCGCACCTGCCAGGGCCATCATCCCTGTCAAATAATACCATGCGGGACACATTCGTTTTTTCTTCGCGCGCGCACGCCGAAATCTACAAAAACCATTGGGTTTTTAAGAATTTTAGCACCGCGCATCATAAAATCACACGAATCGCACCGTAGGTCCTCGAAAAACAGCTGCACGACTTTTCAAAATTTCCACCCGCGCGCGCTGTCCGAATCCTCAAAAAACCAATGGTTTTCCAACATTTATGTTACATGAGCTCGCGCGAGCTACTTTCGCACGCTCTTGCAACGGGGTTCGCGCGCCTGCCAGGGGCCAGAATCCCTTGCGGTTGCGCCATATGTTGCGCCCTCGGCCGCCGAGAATAAAACGCCCCTCTATAGGTTGCGTCATAGGTTGCGTCCTCGGCCGCTGA